AGGTACATGCCCTTGACCGGAATCGAACCCGGGACCTTTCAGTCCGAAGGCCGACGCTCTATCCACTGAGCCAAACCGGTTTCGGCAGCATATTAGGCTTTTATTCTTTAGGATATGAGTAGCCAATGGGCACAGACAATACTGTGGAGAAGATCTGGGGAGGAGCAAGTGTTGGGGGGCGGGGGACAGAGATGGGGAAGTGGGTGACATCTCGAATAGTGTCAACAACAGCCCGGCCTCGGTGGCTCAGTGGTTGAGCGTCGACCTATGAACCAGGAGGTCGAGGTTCGATTCCCGGTCAGGAGGCAGCCCACCAACGATTCTCTCTCATCACTGATCTCTCTCTCTCTCTCTCTCTCTCTCTCTTTCTCTCTCTCCCTTCCTCTCTGAAATCAATAAAAATGCATTTGTTAAACAAGGAGAGGGACAACGATGTCTCTACTCATATATCTACTCACGTATCCACTCATAACCCGGCTGTTGTAGCTCATGGTTGAGCCTTGACCTAGGAACCAGGAGGTCAGGGTTCGATTCCCGGTCAAGGGCACGTGCCCGGGTTGCGGGCTCGATCCCCAGTAGGCGGCGTGCAGGAGGCGGCCGATCCATGATTCTCTCTCATCATGGATGTTTCTCTCAATTCCTCTCCCTGAAATCAATAAAAAACCTATTTTTTTAAAAAAAAAGGAGAAAACAAAGAACATCTCTACGCATATATCTACTCTAGTATCTACTCATCCATCTGCTCACGTCTCTTACTCACCCGTCTCCCAGGGGCGGGCCCTACCCATGGGTGAAGTTTTGGAATTGACCCACACACACCCTGCCAGCCGCACACCCGAAATCTTGGCCGGTTCCGATGAGGGATCGTTGTTGCTACTTGTCTTTCCTTTTTTTTTTTTTTTTTTGGCATTTTAAGCGCCTGTTCTTCGATTTTCAATGCACCAAACCGGAGGGAGCCGGCCCCAGTGAACGCTGAACAACTGGTCTGTGCCCGTCTGTCTGTCTGTCTCTCTCTTTTTCTGTCTCTCTCTCTATTTCTCTATCTCTGTCTCGCTATCTCTCTCTGTCTCTCTATTTCTGTCTCTTTCTCTCTATTTCTTTATCTCTGTCTCTCTCTCTTTCTCTCTCTTTCTCTGTATCTCTATCTGTCTCTCTATCTCTGTCTCTATTTCTGTCTCTTTCTCTCTATTTCTCTATCTCTGTCTCTCTCCCTTTCTCTCTCTGTCTCTATCTCTCTCTATATATCTGTCTATTTCTTTCTCTATTTCTCTATCTCTGTCTGTCTCTGTCTCTCTCTGTATCTCTATCTCTGTCTCTCTCTCCCTGTCTCTCTCTGTCTCTATCTCTCTATATATCTGTCTCTCTTTCTCTTTTTCTCTATCTCTGTCTGTCTCTCTCTCTGTATCTCTATCTCTGTCTCTCTCTCCCTGTCTCTCTGTATCTCTCTCTGTCTCTCTGTCTCTGTCTCTCTCTGTTTCTCTATCTCTGTCTCTCTCCCTTTCTCTCTCTGTCTCTATCTCTCTATATATGTCTCTCTCTATTTCTCTATCTCTGTCTGTCTCTGTCTCTCTCTTTCTCTCTCTATTTCTCTCTCTCTCTCTCTCTCTCTCTCTCTCCCTGTCTCTCTCTCCCTGTCTCTCTCTCTCTGTCTCTCTCCTGGTAAGCTCAGCTGTCTGCTGTCAGGTGCGCTGTGCTCACTTCCGCCTCCTGAAGAAATAACCAACCTTGATTCCACCAAAAATCCCCCTGAGGGGTCACCCCAAAGCCCGTGTTGTCATCATCCTGAGAACCCCACGGGCCGGTCCCAACACCAGATCTTGCACCAACGGGCCGAGATCCGCCCCAAACACCTGTCCCGACTCACCTGCCCGGCTCACCTGCCCGTGACGGTGTCTACCTGATTCTGGGACCAAACAGCAAGGCCGCCCTGAGGGACATGGGACCCTCCCAGCGGCCACCGGGCACCTGTCCCCAAACCGCAGCCCGTGTGGAATTCTATCCAGTCCAGTGGGAAGGTAGGTCTTCCCGGGTAGAAGGAGTTCACCTGAGAGACTCACCTGTGGGATATGCAAATGAGGCTGTTCGTCCCCCCCCTGATTTGCATAATCCAGGTTGAAAAAACAAAAACACCTGGGGACTTGCTCACCTGGGCGAGACCTCTTATCTAAGCCCAGGGCAAGTGATGTCGATAAAACAAGGTCAACAACAACAAAAAACTCACTGAATTTCTGAGGCCCAAATGCTCAGGGGGATGCGAACCCCATTCCCCCAACACGCTGTGGGTCCCGATCAAAGAATTAAATCCACCCACGGCCGGTGTGGCTCAGCGGGTAGAGCGTCGGCCGGCGGACTGAAGGGTCCCGGGTTCGATTCCTGTCAAGGGCATGTCCCTCGGTTGGGGGCTCCTCCCTGGCCCGCCCCCGGCCCTGGTTGGGTTGCGCGTGCAGGAGGCAACCCATCCATGTGTCTCTCTCCCATCGATGTTTCTCTCTGTCTCTCTCTCTCTCTCTCTTCCACTCGCTCCGAAAATCAAGGGAAAAATATCCTCGGGGGAGGATTTAAAAAAAAATTGAGTCCACACACCCGTCTCCTGGGAACCGACCTTTGAATGACTTCACAAACGACTTCACCCCGTTTTTCTGAGAACACATTCCACTTGCTAAGAACTTTGTCTTTACCCTTCAAACCCTCGCAGAGAATTTTCTGCTCAGAAAAAGCCCATAGATTCCTCCCTTACTCCCTCCCTCACCCCTCCCTTCCTCTCTCTCTCTCTCTCTCTCTCTCTCTCTTCCTTCCT